GAGAGAGAGAGAGAGAGAGAGAGAGAGAGAGAGACCGGTCAGATTTGCAAGGCCAATTAGATTGTGCGTCGCGTGCAAGCGAAGACGATACAAAATATGCGAGGCACGAACCAGCGCAATGTTATTGATGCGTGAAGTAACGAGCCACTGAAATGCAGTTTCATCCAAATGTTTCTTTCACAAATGATTTAAGTTTTAGCAGGCTCAGTAAAACGGAGGTAAATAGTGCTTCTACGTCACCAGGCGTGAATAAGTCATGCATAGTTTCAAGCTTTCTCGATGCGAATTCCGGTCGATGCGCAGACCTAATTGGAATTTTTCAAAGACGACGCAGCCGAACGTGTTTGCACTTACAAGTGAATAGTAATGAAGGCACAGTGCGCGGGAGATGAAGAAACGTTCCGAGAGAAGTCTAGCGTCCCACGTGGGTGATTAAAGGTATTATAAACCACCCTGAATTCTTTCGTATGACCTTTTTCATGCCAGTAATAGCAACGCTTTTACGTTCCTTGAACTGCAAGTGAACCTCGCCGTTTGTCATTGTCGCAGCGAGAATGAGATGGACTGCGGCTGTGGATCTGTATTTGCCACTGGGGGCTTATCCATGGCAGCGGGTTTAGTCGGATGTCCGTATTGTTTTTCCTTTGGTAATGTTGGCTGACATGGTATCGCCCTAACTGACATAGCCCGAGCCGGACATCCGGTAAACTACGATCTAACACATATGCCATCATTTTCCAAATATCTGAATGTGCCCCAGCCCATAGACTGTCTGCCCTCAGCAAAACGGATCTGTACTTAATTGATGTAGTTTGCTGTTATACAAACCGTCAGCTAATGAGAACGCACAATAGACGAGGATGACGTCACGAGGGCTTCTAAGGCACAACATCGTCTCCAAACGGGCACGCCAGCAGTGGCTTTGTTACTTAAGGTGCGGGTCTCCGCACCACGCAGGCTTTTGTTACAAGGTGCCGGGTCTCGCACCACGCAGGCTTCTGCTGTCGTCAAAGCCGACTTCAGGGCATGACCTTTCCGGTGACCTCTGCGGTGACCTCTTGAAGATTGTCCTGCGACTGGCCGGCGCCATTGAGATGGACCTGTGGCGAATCGGATTTCACTGCGCGCCTAACGAGTGCTTTTGGTATAACGGATGACAGATTGGCGGCGCGGCCGCCGTCGCCTTCGCGTGGTAACATGATCGTGTTTATGTTGGGTGCGCTTAGAAAGCGAGCATTTCCTGCATGAAATTAGGCTATCACGGAATCATATATCATATCCAGTGATGATATATATTACAAATCTATGCGAATAGCTTCTTCATGTGACTATCGCATGAGCTTATGCTCCCGCCTCCTACAAAAGAAATGTGCAGCCTTCTACGCTGCTTGATAGCGCAAGAATCCGCTTCGACAACTCATTTGCGATACTGCGCACAAATAACCGACACAGGACACATTTTTTAATCATGACATATTTAAGACTACGCTTGCCGTGCTATCATGCCGCCAGAGCTGGGTAGTCCGCGCAGCATCGCGGCGGCCGGATCAAGCGGGGTACCAGACACTAGACACTTGTGCCAATGTGTATGGCCCTGGTCAATGGCGGCGGCCGGCGAGCAATGCCGCCAACCAGCTGACTGCAGCTCGTTCCCTGCCGGCGGCTGTCTCCTCTTGCAGCCCGGCCACCATCAGTCACGCGGCCAGCGCTTACACGGCCTAACCTCGGCAATGAATCAGCGCGGCCGGCGCGCCCATGGGACGGACTCCCACCGGCACGCGTTGAGAGGCTCACCTGGAAACGGTGAGAGGCTCACCTGGTCACGGTGAGAGGCTCCCACCTGATCACGGTGAGAGACTCACCGGCACACGGTGAGAGGCTCACCGGGATACGGTGAGAGGCTCACCTGGTCACGGTGAGAGGCTCCCACCGACACACGGTGAGAGGCTCACCAGGATACGGTGAGAGGCTCACCTGGTCACGGTGAGAGGCTCCCACCTGCTCACGGTGAGAGGCTCACCGGCACACGGTGAGTGGCTCACCTGGATACGGTGAGAGGCTCACCTGGTCACGGTAAGAGGCTCCCACCTGCTCACGGTGAGAGGCTCACCGGCACACGGTGAGAGGCTCCCACCGGCACACGGTGAGAGGCTCACCTGGACACGGTGAGAGGCTCACCTGGTTACGGTGAGAGGCTCACTGGGGCATGGTGAGAGACTCAGCTGGACATTGCGAGAGGATCACAGGGACACAGTGAGAAGCCCACCGGGCACGGTGAGCGGCTCCCCGGGACCCTGCGTGATCGTCGACGGACATCGCTGGAATATCACCGCGATGCAAACGTAATTGCGGGAATGTGCGCCGAGGCACGACTGCAGACCACGGACCGAACGTATCCCAGAACAGCGAGAGAATCCTTTCACGGAACGCAGAGCAAAGCTGCTCCGAGGCGCCGGATGAGAGCACCCAGCACCTGACCGGCCGGTGCTGCTGACTTGCCCGGAGCCACGACACCCAGCTGTCACCCAGCACCTGACCGGCCGGAGCTGCTGACTTGCCCAGAGCCACGGCACCCAGCTGTCACCCAGCGCCTGACCGGCCGGAGCTGCTGACTTGCCCGGAGCCACGTCATCCAGCTGTCACCCAGCGCCTGACCGGCCGGAGCTGCTGACTTGCCCGGAGCCACGTCCCCAGTTCTCACCCAGCACCTGACCGGCCGGAGCTGCTGACTTGCCCGGAGCCACGGCACCCAGCTGTCACCCAGCGCCTGACGCGGCCGGTGCTGCTGACTTGCCCAGAGCCACGCACCCAGCTGTCACCCAGCGCCTGACCGGCCGGAGCTGCTGACTTGCCCAGAGCCACGGCATCCGGCGCTCACCAGCACCTGACCGGCCGGTGCTGCTGACTTGCCCAGAGCCACGGCACCTAGCTGACACCACAGCACCTGACCGGCCGGAGCGCTGACTTGCCCGGAGCCACGTCACCCAGTTCTCACCCAGCACACGTATCATGCATCCATCCCGAGAGTCGCGCTCTGGCCGCGGATGCTGTCTGCCAGCTCGCCGCGGCTGGTGACGGGCCTCTCGGCTGGCAACGGTCGGCGCACCGGCTGGTCACCCTTCCCTGTCAGGCACCGTTAGCGGTCCCGGCGCCCACCGTTCTGAGTACGCAGCGGCCGGACAGGCGACTGGTTTCGGCGGTGGATGACGTCAGCCGGCGGGGTCCACCGTAGGGG